CCGCCCTGCTTGCTGGGCTTTGTCTTTCCATTCACAGGGCATTTGTTCTCATAATTTTGCTTGTATCAGCAGTAAGGACTTGGAGCTGACTGTTCCATTGTATTTATGGTGCAGTTTCTTCTGGAGAGTTCTGTCTCCAGCGTCCAGTGGAGGCAGCTCAGGACCCGTGTGATTTTCCTGCTAGTGGAGAAAAAAGAGCCACCAGGCCCGATGCTAGGAGGAATTTGTTGTCACTCAATGCTTCCTCCCTGCTCAGGAGGACCCTGCCCTCTCTCTCTTTATAGGACAGGACTGGAAAGCCTAGGGCAAGACCAATTTGGGAGCCTGAAGGCCTGGCAGGAGGAGGTGATCTGTTGGTAAAGGGGTCAGGCCTGGCAGGGCATGGTGGCTCACATCTGTAATCTCAGCACTTTGGGAGGCCAAGGCAAGAGGATTGCTTGAGCCCAGGAATTCAAGACCATTCTAGACAACATGGCAAGACCTCATCTCTACAAAAAAAAAAAAAGATTAAAAAATTAACCGGGTGTGGTGGTGTGTACCTGTAGTCCCGGCTACTTGGGAGGCTAAGGTGGAAGGATCACCTGAGCCTAGGAGGTCAAGGTTGTGGTGATCCATGATCATGCCACTGCACCCCAGCCTGGGTGACAGAGTGAGACCCCATCTCAAAAAAAAAAAAAAAAAAAGAAAGAAAGGCCGGGCTCGGTGGCTCAGCCTGTAATCCCAGCACTTTGGGAGGCCAAGGCGAGTGGATTGCCTGAACCGCAGGTCCAAGACCCGCCTGGGCAACTTAGCAAGACCTCGTCTCTACAATAAACAAAAAATTAGCTGGGCATGGTAACGCATGCCTGTAGTTCTGGCTACTTGGAAGGAGGCGGTGGAAGGATCGCCAGAACCCAGCAGGTTGAGGCTGCGGTGGCTGGGAGTATGCCACAACCCTCCAGTCTGGGTCACAGAGTGAGACTCCAATGCAAAAAAAAAAAAAGAAAGAAAAAAAGAAAAAGGCCAGGCCTCTGAGAGGTTGACCAGCCCTGGGGCAGCAGGGAGGAGCTCTGAGTCTTTTGATGGATGCAGACGGAGTTGTCTGTGGGAATGGAAGGTGGCTGGATGCAAAATTGTCTTTCGAGTCGCTTGATAGTTGTCCAGGCTCCAAGGTGGTGTGGGGGCATAATGGTCACTCCAGGTGCCTCCCGGAAGCTCTGACATTCCAGACCTGCTGTCCAAGTGTAACCACCTGTGTATAATCCCAGCCACTGTCTCATCACAGGCTCATTTCCTGCAGCATGCACTAGAAGGTTTAAAAAGGTCCCAAATCCTTCCCATGCCTCTAAGGGCTCCCCTGCTGGACCCAGCTCTCTAGAATGACTGGTCTTTTGCAAATGTCAAGAAGCACACAGCTAAAGTTTAGGTGTGGTAGCGTGCTCCTGTGATCCCAGTGCTTTGGGAGGCTGAGGCAGGAGGATTGCTTGAGCCCAGGAGGTTGAGGCTGCAATGAGCTATGATCGTGCCATTGCACTCCAGCATGGGTGTAAAAGAATGACCCTGTCTCAACAATGTTTCTTTAATTTTGACTATTATTATTTTTACAGAGACGAGGTCTTGCTATATTGTCCAGTCTGGTCTTGAATTCTTGGACTCAAGCAAACCTCCCGCCTTGGCCTCCCAAAGTGCTAGGATTACAGGCGTAAGTTACCAAGCCCTGTCTAATTTATTTATGTTTTGTAAAGACAGAGTATCATGTTTCCCAGATTGGTCTGGAACTCCTGGGCTTAAGTGATTCTCTTGCCTTTGCCTCCCAAAGTGCTGGGATTACAAGCTACTGCAAGCCACTGCACCTAGCCAAATTTTTTTTTTTTGAGTCAGAGTCTCACTCCATCATCCAGGCTGGAGTGCAATGGCATGCTCAAGGTCACCCCAGAGTTGACCTGCTGGGCTCCAGCAATCCTTCTGCCTCAGCCTTCCAAGTAGCGTGAAACTATAGGCGCATGCTACCACGCCCAGCTAATTTTTGGTTTATTATAGAGACGAGGTCTCACCAACTTGCCTGGGCTTGTCTTGAACCTGCAGACTCAGGTAATCCACTCGCCTCGGCCTCCCAAAGTGCTAGGACAACAGGCTGAGCCACCGAGCCCGACCTAAACATTTAAAAAAAAATAAAAACAAAGAAACACACAGGGGAGATCAGTTCCATTTCAACCCAGTGGATGGGGAGAGCTCAGACAGCATGGCTCCTGACCAGAAAGATGAGGCAGAGGCAGATAGTGCCTGCAGGGGCACCTTGCCATGGACGTACATTGTCTGAGCCACCAGGCATGGTCTAGAGCCAGGGGCTGGGGGCTGGATTCAGGGTTCTGCTGGCTGGATTCAGAGTCCTGCCAGATCATCCTACCATAAGATGGCAGGGGTGGAAGGGGCAGCACCTCACATTCCAGGCAGGACCTGTCTGTCGCTGGTGAAGCCTACCTCCTGCCCTCCAAGGCTTCTGGTGGCTCAGACTGTCCCCTGGACACCAGTGGTTGTGCCCACCATGGCCAGGGCCCTGGTTGGCTCAGAATCTACCCCACCACACCCATGTGGAGCTGGGCTTGAGCGGTATCTCCAGGTTGTGCTCTGCAGGACAGGAGCTGAGCCTGGATCCCACTAGCCTCAGATTAGAGCCAGTCCCTGGCCCTGCCCACCAACCCAGGACAGCTTCTTCAGAATCAGTCTCCAGGCAGGTGCTCCATTTTTCTTTCCTGCCTAGAATCATGGGGTCTCTTGCTGCAGACGCTCCCTCACATCCCACTTCTCTGGGGACACCCGGGAAGGAGCATCTGTGGGGCAACTCCTCAAACAAATATGTTTTCCTAATCATCTCAGCACCCCCCCAGGACCCACTCTCCCTGGGCTCACACTACCCCCAGATGGGGGCGGGGAGGTTGCCTGGCACCAGAAACTGCACTGGCGGTGGGGGTGAGGTTGGGGGCAGCTGGAATCCTCATCCTGACCCCCGCTCAAGGACCACAGAGCCTCCCCACCATGCCGCCAAGCCAGGGTCTGGTGAAGGTGACGGTATTCCCCTTGGGGCATGCAGAGGCTGAGAAGACATACTGGGGCTCCTGGCCTTGGGCGATATCTGGCGTCTACTGGGTGATATCTGGCAAGGTACCCTGGCCTGCACCAGGGTGAGCCAAGAATCCAGCATCCCTGACACAGTTGGAAGAAACAAGAAGATGGGTTGATGTTTTGGTGTTAGAATGTCAGAGCTGAGGCTGGGCAGAGTGGTTCATGCCTGTAATCTCAGCACTTTGGGAGGCCTAGGAGGGAGGATCGTTTGAACCCAGGAGTTCAAGACCAGCTTGGGCAACATAGCGAGACCTTGTCGCTATGAAAAATAAAAAAATTAGTCAGCCATGATGTCACATGCCTGTAGTCCCAGCTACTGGGTAGGCTGAGGTGGAAAGATTGCCTGAGCCTAGGAAGTGGAGGCTGCAGTGAACCGTGATCGTGCCACTGCACTCCAGCCTGGGCAGTAGAATGAGACTTCACCAACAAAAACAAAAAAAGAATGTCAGGACTTCAAGGATGCGACCCCACCCAGAATGAGACTGGAGCCTGACCCCAGCCTTGGAATAGGCCTCGCCCCTGCCCCCACCCCACCAACCTGAACAGGGCCCAACACTGACCCTCTTGAACCCAGCCTGGGCCGCAGCCCGGCCCCCAGCCTGCAGGAGCCCACTCTGGACAGACTGGGTGGGGCGCTGCTCAGAGCCCAAGGCCTCAGACTCTGTCCCTGAGTGACAAGGTTATTATGCTGTCACTGGCCCAGCCGGAACTCTCTCCCACCCCACTGAGAGGCAGCTGACTGGGAAGGCCTTGGCCGTTGCCCACCCAGGGGGGCAGCCTCTATGCCAGCCCAGTTTCAATGCCTGACCTGAGGTTTTCCACCGTGGGTCAGGGGACCGGCATAGGCCGATATTCGGAGCCAGGTGGCCAGCCCGTTCCCCACAGGGGTGGAGGCCAGGCTGCCATGTGACTGCACTGTGGGGCCCAGGGCAGGGGGTGATGGGCTCGCTTCCACCCGCTCATCCCCCGTGGCCCTGCAGCCATGCTGACCTCGGTCCTGCACACACTGCGTGCCTGCCCCAAAGACAGCCAGAGGCAGGGCCCCTTCTCCCATGGAGCCCTGGGGAGAATGGCTGACTGGGAGGTCTGCGCCAAGCCCAGGTAGTGTTTGTGTGGATTCAGGGGTCAACACAGCCGCAGGGGCCACGCCTGTCCCTAGAGGGCGGCTCTGGGTGAGGAGAGCGGCCCTGGGATCAGAGTGCTGGGCCTGTCTTTCTGCTACTCAGTTTCCCATCTGTAAATTGGGGTGATTGGCTGGGTGTGGCGGCTTACCCTGTAATCCCAGCAGTTTAGGAGGCTGAGGTGGGAGGATCGCTTGAGCCCAGGAGTTCGAGACCAGCGTCAGCAACATAGAGAGACCTTGTCTCTACAAAAAAAAAAATATTGAGTTGGGCATGGTGGCACACACCTGTAGTCTCAGCTATTCAGGAGGCTGAGGCAGGAGGATCACCTGAGCCTAGGAGGTTGGGGCTGCAGTGATCAGTGATCGTTGTGATCGTGCTACTGCACTCCAGTCTGGGAGACAGCACGACACCCTGACTCAAAATAAATAAGTTAGCTGCTCAGGGTACCTACCTCAGAGGGATGTGGTCAGAATCTGAGAGAGAATGCCACTCATGTCCATGAAGTGGGCTAACGTAGCCATCCCTCATCCCCTGCTCTGGCTGTGGGAGTAGGAGTTAACAGGGCCAGCAGCGCCCTCGTATCTGACCAGCAAGTCTGTTGTTTCTCCCAGGGAAGACCAGCTCCATCCACCTGCAGCCAGGGATGACCTCGTAGCTGCTTTGAGCAGGCCTGGGCCCTCCCAGCAGCCCCGCTCACTCCGGTCAGCTCCCCACGTGTCCAGGTCTGACAACCTCGAGGAGCCAGACACTTTAGGGAAAGTCTGCAACCTGCCCATGTGGTCCACAGGCCAGGAGGCCATGGACGGGGACAGCTCAGTGTCATCAGGCCGCCTCTCTGGCTCCTCCGGGGGCCACAAGGCATGTGAACCCTGGAAGGAGAGGCCGTCCCGGCTGCTGGGATCCCAGCAGCAGTTTGGAAAGAGTGACCCACGGCTGGAGCAGCTGAGGGACAGGATCCGGGCCCAGGCCCGGTGGCAGGGGAACTGCGCCTCCCTGGGCACCCCAGTGGCCTCCAGTGCCTCCAACCTCGGCAAAGTCTCCTCACCGTATCCCGGGAGGAAGACCCGCAAGGTGGCAAATGACCCTCAGGCTCCCAAACACCCAGGTCAGTGGCAGCCTCGCTGGCAAGGGGTGGGAGGGCAGGGAGACCACTGGGAGGGTGGAGATCGGGTGGGATCGGGCTTTGCCAGGCCTGCAGGTGGCAGGGGCAGTGTCACCTGGGCTGCTGGCCAGGGGGGCATGGTGGCATGTCCCCAAGGCAAGGTGCTTCTGAGCCAGGTTCAGAATGGGAATGTGATGGATGGTGAGGGTGGAGGTGATGGTCGGTGTGAGCGAGGGAGGGGTGACCAGGACCCTCAGAAAGGCAGAGGGGACCTGGTTCCCGGGCCTGAAGTCTGTGACGCTGTCCCTCTATCCTTGGGGAGCTGGATGGTCAGGTTTGTGGGGACTTAGGTCAGGAGCACCCTGAAAAGCCAGCCTGGGATTTGGAAGGTTCGTCTGCTTCCAGCTTGAAAAGAACAGGGCATGTCTCCTAGTGCTAGAGGTAAGGACATCTGTGGTCATTCAAGAAGTTTCTAATCAGCTTCCCTGTTGGAACAGATGTAGACCTAACCCTGGGCTTCTCTCAGTGTCTGGGTGCTTTGCTCCTTCCCTAAGGAGACAGGAGAGATGTTTTCCTCATATTTATTTATTTAATTTTTTTTTTTTTGAGTTGGAGTCTCACTCTGTTGCCCAGACTGGAGTGCAGTGGCCACTCCCAGCCACTGCAGCCTCGACCTGCTGGGCTCTGGCTATCCTTTCGCCTCAGCCTCCCGAGTAGCTGGAACTACAGGCACGCACTACCACGCCCGACTGATTTTTTTGATTTGTTGTAGAGATGAGGTCTCACCAAGTTACCCAGGTGGGTCTCGAACCCGCGGGCTCAGGCAATCCACTCACCTCAACCTCCCAAGGGCAGGATTACAGGCTGAGCCACCGAGCCCGGCTTATTTTTTTAATTTAATTTTTTTTTTTTTTGAGTCAGAGTCTCACTCTGTTGCCCAGACTGGAGTGTAGTGGCATAATCATGGCTTACCACAGCTTCGGCCTCCTGGGCTCAAGTGATCCTTCCACCTTAGCCTTCAGAGTAGCTGGGACTACAGGTGAGTGCCACCACATACTGCTATTTTTTTTCACTTTTTGTGCAGACAAGGTCTCCCTATGTTGCCCAGGCTGGTCTTGAACTCCTGGCCTCAAGTGATCCTCCTGTTTCAGCCTCCCAAAGTGCTGGGATTCCAGACATGAGCCACTGTGCCTGGTTTCTTTTAAAAATTTTTTAAGATAATAACTTCTGTTTTTGTTTTTAATATTGTGGTAAAATACACATAACATAAAATCAACCATGTTAACCATCTCTAAGTGCACAGTCCTGGGCATTAAGCATGACTATAGTGTTGTGCACCGTCACCACTTCCATCTCCAGAACTTTCCGTCTTCCCAAAGTGGCACTCTGTCACCATAAGACACTCATTCTCATCCCCTCCCCAGCCCCCGGCACCCTCTGTTCTACTTCTTGTATCTGTAGATGTGGCAACACCAGGAACGTATATGGGGGAAATCACACAGGATTTGTCCTTTGGTGACTGTTTTTTTCAAAGGCAGTACATGTTTTGGGAAGGGAAAATATAGACAAGCACAAAGAATGCAATAAAAAGTGTGACCCCCTTTCCAGCACTACATGGTCTAAACTGTACTTGGTCCCCAGCATGGGGGCGCACACAGCCCTGTCACTGCTGGCTCCGGGAAGCCACAGGTGCAAGACATTCATCCTAACGAGGTGCCAGTTTTTCCCAAGTGCTGGTACATGTCCCGATGGGCCCTGTGGGACATACTCTTAGGCCTCAGGTATTGGTCAGAGGTGCTATTTAAAGGCTTTTGAAGGCCACGTACAGTGATTCATGCCTGTAATCTTAATATTTTGGGAGGCCGAGGAAGGAGGATCGCTTGAGGACAGGGATTTAAGACCAACCTGTGCAACATAGTGAGGCCTCGTATTAGCCGGGCATGGTGGTGTGCACCTGTAGCTCCAGCTACCCAGGAGGCTAAGGTGGAAGGATTGCCTGAGTCCAGGAGGTCGAGGTTATGGTGAGCCATGATTGTGCCACTGCACTCCAACCTGGGTGACAGACTGAGATGCCAAACAAACAAGCAAACCAACAAACAAAAACTTTTGAGCAGCTACCAAACTAGAGCCTTTTCCCGCAAATTCTTCATGGTGTCTCTCCTCCCACACTGCCCCTCTGCTCCAGGTTTTGGCACTCTGAGTATGACTGAATGCAAAGTTGAAGACAAGGCATCCCCTGTCCAGGGCCACAAGCTCCCCAGGGCCTCCCAGCACCAGGCTTCGGGTAAGTGACTCTGTGTTTGGCTGTCCAGTGCTCCAGGTTGGATACTGGGCATTAGCAATCCTGGTGATGTGGATAGCACATGCCAGGCCCTACCCACAGATGGCGAACTGGAGGGTCAGAGAGGACTTCAGCAAGGGGCCAAGTAGGGATTCGGAGCCAGCCTGCCAGCCCCTGGAGCCTGCGTTCTAACCCTCTGCCTCCTCCAAGAGATCTGCACAAAATAGGCAAGGTGTTTCCTGGGTGGTCACATGCCAGCCACAAGAGCAGACACTGCCTGCTTGTCTGCCACATGACCCTGCCTTGCCTGGGAGCTGCTGGAGCTTTGGCAGATGTCTAGACAGGTGGGGAAGGCTCAGGTTTGCTCACTCATCCATGTGACAAAGGGGAGGAGGGGAGGATGCAGAGGAAGACAGAGGCTGCTCTGGGGGCTGGGTGAATGTGGACCCCATTCCCAGGGAGTGGGGCCGTGTAAGTGTTGACCAGGGAGGTACCGTGCCTGGGACTGGACAGGCTCATTGTCTTCCGGGTGCAGAATGGGCAGGGTCTCTCTCTATGGTCCAGAGAGAGGCAGATTCCTGCAACATTTTGGAGAGCCCACCATGGGGGAGGGAGGAGGCCGGGGAGCAGAGGTGTTTCGGGGCTTTCCAGGGGCCCTCCGATTCCGGGATCTTCAGCTCAAGGGATAGTGTGGGTTTCCCGAGGGGCCATGGGGGTGGGAATGAGGTGCCAGTCAGGTCCCCAGAGGACAATCGCTGTCCATCCCAGCGGTGTGGTGGAGGCCGAGGCGGGGTGAAGGCTGGTCAGGTGGGTCCCCGCTGGGCAGAAGCCACATTCTGGGATGTGTCTCACCCCATGTGACAGAGGAACCAAGTGCAGATAGATGTGGGCGGGGTCCTGAAGCTGGCCTGATTGATAGCCAGGGACAGAAACCCCTCCCGGAGCCCAGCTCTGGCCAGCTCCATGCCCACAGTGGCCAGGGCACTCCCTGCCCACCCTGATCTGCTGGGCCTAGTGGTGAGTGCTGCTGGGTTTCCTCTCCTCCTCTTTCCAGGAGGACTCTGGAGGCATCAGTTTGTCCTGTTGGTCATTCTTCCCATCCCTCTCCCAGGGAGGCTTCTGGGGTCCATTGGTTAAGTCCAGGACTTGGTGATCCATCACTCAGGGACCTCAGTTCCCGTCCCATCAATCACTAGGACTTGGCAATCTTGTTCTCATGCTCCCAGTTTAGAACCATCCAGAAACAGGGCATGGAGGAGAGTTTTTACATTTTATTTTTATTTTATTTTATTTTTGAGTCAGGGTCTCACCCTGTCACCCAGGCTGGAGTGCAATGGTACGATCATGGCTCACCACAGCTTTGACCTCCTGGGCTGAAGCGATCCTCTTGCCTCAGTCTCCCGAGTAGCTGGGTCTACAGGCATGCACCACCACACCTGGCTAATTTTTTTATTTTTTGTAGCGATGAGGTCTCGCTATTTGCCCAAGCTGGTCTCAAACTCCTGGGTTAAGCAATCTTCCTGCCTCAGCCTCCCAAAGTGCTGAGATTACAGGCATGAGCCACTGCACCCACCCCGCCAGAGCCTTTTTTTAAAGTGCACAATCCAAAAGCACTAAGCATATTCATGTTGTTGTGAAGCCATCACCACCCTCCACCTCCAGAACTTTCCATCCTCCCAAATGGACACTCTGTCCCTATGAAACACTCACTCTGTCCCCTCCCCACTTCCAGCAACCTCTGTTCTACCTCCTGTCTCTGTCCATGTGACCACTTCCAGGATTTGAGCTTTTCAGAGGGCTGCTCTTCATGCCCTGCTTGCTAGCAGGGTTGGGGCCTGGGGGAGAACCAAGGGGGCAGGCCCAGGTCTGGGTCTGGGCCAAGTGGCGTTAGTAGGTTTGGGGACTCCTCAGGCCCAGAGCCCAGCTTGTGGTGCCTCCACCAGACACAGCGGGCTCACAGAGCTCACCGACTGGCCAGGGTTTTGGTGCCTCCCAGATGCAGTCCTGACCCCAGCAGTCCACAGAGACCAAAAGAAGTCAAGAGGTGGAGGGAAATCCTGTTCTCAGGCTCCCAGTCTTAGAAGCATCCAGAAGCGGGGCGTAGAGGAGAGCCTTTCTTTTTTTTCTTTTTTGAGTCAGAGTCTCACTTTGTCATCCATGCCGGAGTGCAGTGGCATGCACACAGCCACTGCAGCTTCAACCTGCTGGGCTCAGGTGATCCTTCCATCTCAGCCTCCTGAGTAGCTGGAATTACAGGCAGGCACCACCATGCCTGGCTAATTTTTTTGGTTAATTGTAGAGACAAGGTCTTACCAAATTACCAAGACTGGTCTTGAACCCCTGGGCTCAGGCAATCCATTCGCCTCTACCTCCCAAAGTGCTAGAATTACAGGTGTGAGCCAAGACACTTGGCAAAGAATGCTTTTTTTGTTTTTGAGTTGAAGTTTCACTCTGTCACCCATGCTGGAGTGCAGTGGCATGCTCACAGCCACTGCAGCTTCAACTTGTTGGGCTCGGGTGGTCCTTCCACCTCAGCCTCCTGAGTAGCCAGAATTACAAGCAGGCACTACCATGTCCAGCTAATTTTTGTATTTAGTGTAGAAATGAGGTCTCACCAAGTTGCTCAGGCTGGTCTCGAACCTGTGGGCTCAGCAATCCTCTCACCTCAGTCTCTCAAAGTGCTGGGATTATAGGCATGAGCCACCACGCCTGGCCTGAACACTTTTTTTTTTTAAGTGCACAGTTCAGTGGCCTTAAACACATTCACACTGCTGTGCAACCATCATAACCCTCGACCTCCAGACCTCTCCATTTTCCCAAACTGACACTCTGTCCCCAGGAAACACTCACTCCCATCCCCTTCCCACCCGCTGGCACTCTCTGTTCTACTTCCTGTCTCTGTGGATGCGACTGCTCTGGGGAATGTGACCAGCGTCTGTGACCAGATGAAATCTCAGGTCCACTCTGGTTGGCCACTGCCTTTGCTGCAGAACTTTGAGCCAAGTCTGCCCCTCTCAGACTCTCTGGTTCCTCTTCCATCATCAGCCAGAGGGACAGACCCAGGCCCTTGAGCTCGGGATCTCGCTCCTTCACCCCCTAGTCTGAGCCATGCCCAGTCTGACCAACCACCACACTGCGGGTTTATTCGGAGCTTCACCCATTTAGTCACTCATTCACTGGTGGCCAGATCCCCAGCTGAGTGCCAGACATGGAGATGGGAGACGAGTTCCTGCGCTCAGGACCTCTGGGCCTGGAGGGAGGAGGTGGCCGGACTCAGGAGGGAGTCCATGCTCTGTGAGGGAGGGGATGGTATGCCTGGCCTCCTGGGAAGGAGTCCCCAGATGGGGTCCTCAGGGAGAACACAACGACGAGAGCAGGACAGCCACATGTTCCCCATTCGTTCCACCCGGGCCTCTGGCTCTCAGGCCTGAGTAGACACAGGACAACTCTGCAGTAGCTGCGGGGCAGTGCCTGGTGTCCTGGGACACACCTCCTCCCCCCTTCCTTCCTTTCTCCTTCCCTCGCTGAAGTCCCAAGGGAGAAAACCCAAAGAAGGAAGAGCAGAAGAGAGAATGCCCCCAAGTCATCCTCCCCCAGAAGAGCAGCCGAAGACAAAGGTAAGGCTAGCTACTCTGGGGCCCTGGCAGGATGTGGAGATGGGAGTTTACAGTCCTGACTCTAGCAGGCAAGTGGCTTTGGCTCCTGGGGCCAGGGGCGGTGGGGTGGTGTGCACAGGGCTCTGCGGGGGTGTCTGGGATGAGCAGGGCCCTGCTGGAGGGTCAGCGTCTGTGTCCCAGGTAAATGGTCCCCTTGGCCACCACTGGAGTAGCTGGTAGTTCCTGCCTGGGCAGGGGTGTGTCCTTTGTGATGCACTGAAGGTTCACAAAGCCCGGGCGTGCTGTTAGCTGTCCTTTCAACACCTGGAGATTGGGCAAGTCCATAAGGAGACAAAGCCACCCAGCCACCTGTGACACACAGCAAGGTCATCAACAGATATTTGAAAGGGTGAGCAGCCAACATGCTTGGTTGGTAGGATCTGTGTTTGTTTTTTTTGTTACTTGGCATCATGAAACAAGTGGTTAAGAAGCAGGAAGTCTGGGCTGGGGGAGTGAGTCTCCCTGTCCGGCCTAATCTGGTATTTATTTTTTATTTATATACTTATTTACTCATTTATTTTGAGTCTGTCTCCCAGGCTGGAATGCAGTGGTATGCAATCATGGCTCACCACAGCCTCGACCTCCTGGGTTCAGGCGCTTCTCCTGTCTCAGCTTCCACGGTGGCTGACACTACAGGCACATGCCACCAAGCCCAGCTAAATTTTTATTCTTGCAGAGATGAGGTCTTGCTATGTTGCCCAGGTTGGTCTCGAAATCCTGGGTTCAAGCAGTTCTCCCACCTCAATCTTCCAAAGTGCGTGAGCCACCACGGCTGGCCCTAATCTGGTATTTATTTATTTATTTATTTTTGAGTTGGAGTCTCACTCTGTCACCCAGATTGGAGTGCAGTGGCTGCTCCCAGCCATCGCAGCCTCGACCTGCTGGGCTCCGGCGATCCT